ACCTTCTGGACAAATACGCTAACTGCACATTCTGCCATCAGTCAAAATTAAATATAATGAAATAGAATTAAATTTAATTCCCTTTTTTTTTGCATGTGAAAAGGTAATAAATTACGTTTTCTAAATTACGTTTATGTTTAAAAAAAAATTTTGTAAAAATAAATTTTTTTCCCATGACTTTCCAAAAATCTGCAGCATCGCGTGGCAGTCCGGGACAGTACCCCTGGACTGGCAGACCGGGGTGGTGGTCCCTCTTTTCAAAAAGGGGGACCGGAGGGTGTGTTCCAACTATTGGGGGATCGCACTCCTCAGCCTCCTGGGAAAAGGCTATTCCAGGCTACTGGAGAGGAGAATCCAACCTATAGTCAAACCTCGGATTCAAGAGAAGCAATGATGTTTTCGTCCTGGTCGTGGAACACTGGACCAGTTCTATACCCTCCACAGGGTGCTTGAGGGTTCATGGGAGTTTGCCCAACCGATCCACATGTGTTTTGTGGACTTGGAAAAGGCTTTTGACCGTGTCCCTCGTGGTATTCTGTGGGAGGTGCTCCAAGAGTATTAAATCAATCCTTAAGTCACATCTAGGTTTTTACCTTGAATTCACAAAATCATTTTTTGTATAAATGTTGTCCGCTGCTACTTTTATTTGATCTCCTTAAACCTTAAACAATAGCAAGTAATCAGAGTGATTATAGTAAAGACTAATACATATTAGTACTAATAGTACTAATATGTTCCTGAAAAAGTCTTCAAATATAAAACGTTGTCAAAAATGAGTAAAATTAACTAATTTACTTTAAAATATGTAGCTATTTACTTTTCTATGATTTCTATGATCAGATAAAATATACTTTTTTGGAATGTCAAACATTGATCACAGTAAAAAACTATATTAATAAGAGCAAATAAGAGCATTACAGAAATGTTTTCTAAATTTTTTACAGAAATTTCTTTTTTTAGGAATTTTTCAACAGGAGGTGCTTTGGCCCAGAGGCAATGTCTCTGTCATTGGTGTGGAACCCCAGGGTTCACCTCCTGGGCAAGTTCGAAACCCGGTTAGGGTGGTTGGTACTTTCCAGTGGATTCACCACCCGTAGGAAGGTTTAGGGGGGTTGGTCTGGTGCATGTAATCTGGGTGGCTACTGCTGCCCCCGCGACCCGGTAATGGATAAGTGGATGAAAATGGATTGATGGATGGATGGATGATTTCAGCATTAAGCTCTTCTTCTGACTTCTGTCATGATCATATCAACCATTTCAAGTAAAAGATCATTCTTTTAGTCTTATTCAGACACATTCCCTATCGTGCGTTACATGCAGATGTATATGAAAAATATCAACGATTTTATTTCGACAAAATCACACATTAATTTTATACTTTATTTGTTCAATATAAATCACTGTGTTCTTTCCCCAGATTTCTTTGTGAACTTCCTGGATTAGAGACATGCCTCAACATGTTTTTATAACACATTTCAATACATGTTCCCTTTGCTTGTGCTAAATGCGGAACTAATATAATTTTTGCCTGCTATGATACACTGGATCCATGACCTCTGAATACTGAGCTCAACCCTTCTTGACAGGATTATGCTCAAATCTCGAGGTTCCACTGTACTTGGGTTATTTTGTGGGGCTGTTTACATTCTGCCTTCAAGACTTTGTGAAATTATGAAAAATTTTATTCCACATTACAGTTACAACTCAAACCTCTTGGCTGTTGGAATAAAATATCCCAGACTAGGACAGCTGTGATGTGAAGGACAGCCTGATGTTTGTGTGCCAGTGGTTTCCCTTCACCCACATGAAAACACATCAGTGCTGCTATTCAGGGTCTGGAAGCCACTATTCCTGATTAGCTCAAGCATCTCATCAATAGGCCTGACTGTTTGCTGTGGCCTTTGGACAAATGTCCCTTTCTTTCCAGCCTCACTTCTTCCTGCTTTAATGACTGGAACAGCTCAGAGAAGAGTTAATTATTGCACAGCACATGGCTAGCATACAGAGCTATGGCACGGTGCCGCATGAATGTGTCACAAGATGTCCAGCAGTTTTTGCACGTGATGAGGAAGGCTGTGTGGAGTTACAGTAGATGTTGGTGAGGTGGGGTGAACAGAGGACAGAGTATTTTGTTTTGTTTTTTTTTTTTTCATTTGTGTGAAATCACTTCAGATTGTTTACATTATTTTTAAGTATCAGAAGGACAGAGACAAACAGTATCAGTATCAGCCTGGGTTTATAGTGGGAGATTGGACACAAACGTCTTACTTCATGTTCCCTTTGTCTTTTTTTAACACTGTGCCATTTTATATTTTTCATCATCATTTTCTTGGCAGTCATGAAAACATCTAATCATTTTTAGTTTAGATACCACTAGTAGACAATAGTAGTGGTAACATGATTGTTAACGTACAAAGAGAGGCAGAATACAGTGGTCTGAAAAAGTTTGGGCACCCCTGACAATTTCCATTATTTTCATTTATAAATTATTGGGTGTTTGGATCAGCAATTTCATTCTGGTTTATCAAAAAAACTGATGTATCTTCTATAACTTCCAATAAGTTTCTGGATTCTAGATGGAGATATTTGGACCATTTGATGGTTGCCCAGCATGGACAACCCACTTCAGATCATCCCACAGATTTTCAATGATATTAAGGTTTGGGGACTGGGATGGCCATCCCAGAACGTTGTACTTGCTCCTTTGCATGAATGGCAGTGTTTTGGGTCGTTTCATGAGTCCACAGCACCTTGTTTCAAACTGAAGCTGGCTTGTCCAAATGTGCTTTTGTATACCTCAAGTGACTCTGTTTGTGGCGTGTGTGCAGAAAAGTCTTCTTCCGCATCACTCTCCCGTACAGTTTCTCCTTGTGCAAAGTGTGTTGTATTGTTGAACGATGCACAGTGACACCATCTGCAGCAAAATGATGTTGTAGTGGTGGTCTGTGAGTTGTCTTTGACCATTCTCACCAACCTTTGTCTTTGCCTCTCCGATATTTTTCTTGGCCTGCCACTTCTGACCTTAACAAGAATTGTGTTTGTGGTCTTCCATTCCCTCATTATGTTCCTCACAGTGGAAACTGACAGCTGAAATCTGAGATATATTTTTGTAG